TCAGTTATTACATATTGGCAAACTTTCTGAGTCCCTTTTGGCAAAAGCAGAAACTACTGACATGGAATGTAAGTATCTGACCAGGTGTTGTGCACATTGGTTTTGAAAAATGAGCCCAATGACATAATATATGGAAAGGTGAATTCACCAGTGGGATTCCACGCTAAGGAAGCTGACTCTTACATAGCATCTGAAACATAAAAGCTTCAATCTGTGCTGAATGCTAATGTAATTTTAAAAAAACCACATCTGTAACTCTTAATACCTCTATTACTCACCATGGTTCCACTGTCAGTAAAATATTCTTAAATAACTTTTCATTATCTTAATAAGATTATGACTTTAATACTAACATTTTATTTGGAGCTTCAAAATAGCAATGTTACATCTACCTGTCTTTCTGTCTAACTGTGTACTATGCATAGCTCTCAGAAATAGAAAATACAGACTCAATTCTCGTAACAATACATAAACGTCCACAAGTTTCATATGATCTGCTCATAGTTTCTGTTAGTCTTGAGTCTAAAGAAAGAAACCAACAAAATATCCTTTCTGATGTTGTTTGTGGCATATTTGGGGGCATGGTGTTTGTGATGCAGTTAGTTGGAGAAAGAGATAGACTCTTACACTGAGGCAAATTATTGACGTTCTGCCCAGACTTGATTCGCATTCTTGAGATTGCTGCTAATTGAAAGCTTTCACTCTGATGAGAGTTGGTACAAGGGCATGCACTGCTGTGGTGATTGGGCAATGAAGCAGTCTCATGTGTTAGCTGTCATTTGATACTGATGTGCTCCTGGTGGTCACTAAAAATACCAAAACTTAATCTGTCTTCTCTACCAAAAATATGCAATAGTCCCAATTTACTGTTCTAGGTAGGAATTTCTTATAGGGGAAAGAAGAGTCTTCACACAAGATCAAGAAGTTACACTTATGAAATATTCAGCAGGAAAAGTTTTCAGTTCTGACTCCTCTAAAGGCTTGTAATGCTTGAACTGGTTTTGTAAAAGGTCCCCTAAAGTCTCCCTTTGGGCATGAATCTTCTTATATATACATTTAATTATGTACATATATGGCGTGTTCTATCTCTGGGAAAGGGTGACTTCAACAGGCAGGTATGTGTCTGAAGATGAGTTTCTGGGCGAGGCACTTGTGACTATTCTTGGGCTGGAAATTCTGCTCTCACCCGAAATTAATAATCTTGAAGACAAAGATGGGTAGGGCTGCACTTCCAAAGTCCTTTTAGAACTTTACTGATGTCTGCCAAACTTGAATAGCTAAGCACCTCCAAAGCACCCTTATTCTATTCTATACCTGAGCAAAGCCCTTCAATTATATTTTTGGGAGCAGGGCACACGTTTTGCTTAAAAAGTGTAGTTATTTCTCTCTAATATCAAGGTTTCCTGGCAGGTTACTTAGAAAAGACCTTAAACAGTGTTGTGGGTTTTAAGTGTCATAAAGTGTGAGAGAAATGTTGGATCTGAGAATTTCCATATGCATGAAACCTATTCCACATGTGAGAGAGCATTATTTGATGAGCAAAGCTTATATCTAGATTTTTTGGACTTTAACCATAGTACATTCCTAGAGAGTACTGAACACGTGAGGATACGACAGTAGTATGAGGACCTGCTCTATACTGCAATGCAGTTTAATACTCATATACATACTAAAAAATGTTCAGCTCTCTTATGTTGTATTTATACAGTTAGCACCTTGGAAACTTTTAGTGTGCATCATTTAAAAGAGAAACCTATAGAAGTTAACTATTTTGCTGTTTGGTTTCATGGAGTCTAGGGGAACTTTTCTGGAGAGATGTAGGTTGTCAGTCCTGCTTCCTGTCTGCTTTTTCCTTTTGTGTCACTTTTGCCTCCCCTGATGGCTTCTCAGTTGACAGGAGCATCCCTGGAATTCCTCATCCTGTCTTTGTGGATTACCCCACACACATCTGTGATTACTAAGCCCCTACAACACTGTTGTCTAACTTCCTTCATACAGTCACTTGTGCTCTGGGGAAAAATAGAGGAGAATTCAAAGTGCTTGAGAGTAAACACTGTAAAATTATACAGGATTTTCTTCTCCCTGAGGACCTTAGTAGTTTTTTCTATCCAAAAAAACTTTTAACCTAAACCTATCAAAAACCCATAATGAGTAAGTAGTCATGTTATTTTTTAATAACAGGTTACTCTTACTGTTGGTGGTCAGACAAATTATGCTTATAACTAATAAACTTGGAGAATAGTTTTATTAGTACCTTTGGACACTTGTTGATCTAAAAGCAGCACTGTTTACCAGTAAAAGTAATAGAACCAGACTAAAGTACTCTTAATTAGATCTTGTGAAAGCTCTTAAAAAAAATCACCACTTTACCTCTATAAGCACAGTGGTTTATTTCTCATGAAGTTTTACACTACATATGTATTTTCATTCAAACTGTTAAGCCAAATAAAAACAAAAGCAGAAACAAAAGCAGAATTTGCTTTAACTTGAGAAATCTGTTTCATTTTCAAATCAGTTCAGGGTCTAAATATTTCAGATATTTGCATATAGTCACTAAGCACAGAAGCTGGCTCAGTTGATTTTAGTGAGTAGTCTCTAGCCCCTAGCAGAGGGCTGAACACAAAGCCAGATCCCTGTGTGGTCATAAAATGGGTGGGGGAGGGAAAACACTGTTACAGAGGGTGGGGTATTCCCAGCAGCCATGTGGTGACCTGAATGTCACAACCATTCTGCTGGACTTTCCTGGTGGTTCCAATTTTAATTAAACTATTTTTGCCCCTTTGAATTTCTTTAGCCACCTTTCCTAAATTTTATATTTGGGAAAGATGGTTTCTGTTGTCATGTAGAGTAGCTGGGATGGCAGATTAGCATGTGGGCACTTGTCATAGAACACCTGTCTTGAAGGAATGAGTAGACCTGTCCTCAAGTTCAGGTCTACTTGAGACTGAAGAGTATCCAGAGAGTTGTCTTTTCTAGTGAATAATTTTCAAGAAAAGAGATTTCTGAAACCTGCTAGGTACAGACAATCCTGTTGGCAAGTCTGACTTTTGATTCTGGGGTCTAATAATTTCTTGCTAACTTTGGAAAGCAGAGGAAACTGTCATGTCCATGTTCAGTGTTTGGATTCCTACTCTATAATCTGGAATTTTCTGACTGCTTGTTTTGAAAGAGATGTCTGAAGGCTTGCAGCAGGAGCTGTGCCAAAGTTAGACTTTGGACAGAGAAACAAGGATGGTTCCAACGGAGAAAGTCTGGACTTTAACACTAATTCAGAAATACCAATATATTCATATTGGTTAAGCTGCTAGTGTCTGATGCCTCTCAAAAATGGGTGAATTATTTGAATTAGTCTCGTAACCTCTCATAGCTTTTAAGTGGCTGGAAAGTCAGCCACAGCTTGTCATATTGTAATATATCCTAATGTTTAAAATTACTTGACTTTTTAAACTCTCTGCCCTCTAATCTTTGGGAAATATCTTTCAGTTGTCAGGCTATACTATACCATGATTCTAATTCCAGATACTAGTAAGGAGCCAATTCTGGCTCAGATAGTCTTTATTTATTTACACTTTTCTTCCTGGATCTCAGAACATTCCCTCTTCCTTGCTTAGCAGACATACCTGGCTTGAAGTTGTTTCTCTCCATTCCTAAAGCAGCTGGTGAGAAAGCCACAGTGCTACCTGGAATTCCATGGTGACTGCTAGGGACCCAGAAGGGTGACACATCCTAACTATAGTAATTTCTAGGTCACATGGACAAGCTCTTGAAATATGAAAAATTGTATTTTGATAGAAATATGAAGGGTGATTTTAAAAGCCTTTTCTCCAGAGTTTGACTGTTGAGGTTTTGGCTTATTGGGATAACATGTTATGTTTTTCTGCTAGAAATGGAAAATTGTGTCAAAATGAAGTAGGATTTCATAATGACTTTCCTGGTTTACATTTTCTTTCTCTACTCTGGATTTTAAAAAAAAAAACACGTGTATATACGTTATCTTAGTAAAATGATTTTCATGTATGTCTGTGAAAACTATTGGTTAAAACTAACAATTGGCAAGCTCTATTTAAGTTTATAGTCATACTGCTTCTTACTTGTTGGCCTAATGTAATTGCCCATCCTTTGGAATTCTTCTGGTTTTTTTTGGTGGTGCTGAGGTTTGAACTCAGGGCCTCATGCTTACGAGGCATGCGCTCTACCACTTAAGCCACTCTGCCAGCCCTTTTTCCCTTTGGAATTCTTAAAAGTAGTGAAAGAAACTTCCTAAATGACCAGAATGTTGTGTGGTTCTGTTAACTCACTGGTGACTTGAATTTTTAGTGTACCCTGGGTTTACCTCAGGCCAGGATCTTTGTATCAGGTCTCAGTGTCACTCTTTGAGATGAAACTGTGTAAAAAAGTGACATGATCCAACATGGCATTTATTACATTTCATGTTATAACAGGAAGAAAACTTATATAGGGTTTGGGGATGAGTTTAAGTAAGCAAGCTCAAAGGTCAAAGGCTTATTCAAACTTGTAACTTGGAAGGAGGGGACACTGCTGTGTTTTACCGTAGTAAACCCTCATTCTCCCTCTCCCATCTATTCCCATCCCACTATGGCACTGCTCTTGGGTTTTGATATCCTTGCCAAAAGTAGCTCAGTTTTCAGTGCTAGATACTACTCAGCTTTTAGCAACAGAGACAACATAGACACAATAACCCTCCTTCCAGCTCTAGTCTTTGAATCCTGAAGATTTCACATTAACAGTCTGGCTCTCCCCTCAAACTCAGTTCAGGGTCAGTAAAGGATCATTGATCTTTGTTGGAAATGAATGTGTTACTAACTCAGCCTTTGCGTATTTGTTTGTGTTGTATTGTTGATTTGCAGTGAGGGGGTGGGGGGAAGGTGGGAGGGGTGGAGCTGCAATGTGAAGGTGAAGGGATTTAGCTCAAAAGGGTAGAGTTAATACATGACAAAGAGGCCTATCATCTGAAACCATTTGTCTTTGGTTCTTCCCAGGTTCTCCATACTATGACAACGTCCGCCCCCTCTCTTATCCAGATTCAGATGCAGTGCTGATTTGCTTTGACATCAGTAGACCAGAGACTCTGGACAGTGTCCTAAAAAAGGTAAATACTAGGGACTGGTGACACTACCCAATGCAGGATGTGTAAATAGAAACGTGGTTGGCTGGGGAGTTCAAAGACTCTAACAATTCCCTGTCTTGTATTTTGTAATTAAAACATGGGAAAAGACATTTTCACACCAAAACAGGGTTTCCACATACATGTGTCACTAACTTTGATAATTAATCTACTTGAAATTTTATTTCATAAAGCTCTGAAACAAATTAACCTTCAAGAACTTCCGTGTTTGTTTTTTGGGAGGAGACAGTGCAACTAAAAATAGTTATATTTGAGTAATGTTGTATTTATGCCTCTTTCCTTCCTTCTTTCACTTTCTGGACAGATTGCATCTTAGTTGTTTATGTATGACCTAAATTCAGACATTGAACTGAATGTAATACTAGTTATTTTAATAAAGAAACTATTTCAATTATGATGTTATTTATAGAAACAGAAATGGAACTGTAGGAGGATGAGGAGCAATAGGCTGTGTCTCCAGACATGGGGCAATGTGGATTATAATCAGGTGTATATCAAATACTAATAAAAACCAGTAAACGTAAACCTGTTTGTCTTGAGGCAAAAGTAAGCCAGGTTCTGCAGGTGAAGAGGGTCCTAAAGGAACCAGGGAGAGGTCAAGAAAAAAGGGATCTAATGAGGATGTTCACAGGCCTCGGAAGGCCGATGGAAGGACAGGTAATCCTTGATCTCCAGCAGCCTAGGACTCAACCCCTGGGGTGACTACAGAAGGTGCATGCTAGTTGATGAAACAACATTTATCAGCCACTAGCCCTTTCTTAGCCCTGACCTGGGTACCTGTTCTTGCTGGAGGACCCCTCTTCTCTCTAAACTGTTTCTGAGACACAGGATGTGCTTGAGAGCAAGGCAGTGCCATTGAGCCCATGTGGCTCAGGCAGAGTGAGCAAAGAAGGGATGGACGGAGAAGGAAAAAGTCCTATGTGGATGGCCTGGGTTTAATTTGTTTTGTTTTAGTTAGGTTCTTTTTGTTTTTACTTTTGGTAGAATTTGAATTTTGTATATTTTTGCTAATTTATATTTCTCCATGGTATTTGATTACTTGGCTTGGTCATTATAAAATTAGGGTGTGAGGTATAATCTTCTGTTTTCAGTAAACACTACCAACACGGTTCAATGAGATACGACTTTTTAATAGATCAAAGGCTTTTTTTCTTTCTTTTTTTCTAAATCTCCTTTCAATTCTGAGTAATGTATATGAAACACAAGTAAGCTAATGTTTGTCAGATTCAGGAAGGAATCTACCTTTCCTGTCTTTAATGCTAGTAAACAGTTGCTAGACATGTAGAGTCATTACACAGCTCAAGAACAACATAGTATGTCTCGTTCTGTCTGTAGATAAAAGAAGGTGCTTATTCACTGGAGTTTTTACTTGATGTAGTATCAGGTTATGCATAATTTATAATGAAAAGCCTTTCTCCTGTTTTATTTTGCTTTTGTCTTTTAAGACCAAATGAACAGTGACTTAGCCTTATAGTTATTAATGAATGTGTTTTACATTCTTGTGAGACTTAAGGCTCACAATAACCCTTGCTATGTTTCATCTTAGTTAATTGAGTCATAAAGTCTATGGATGTCAAAGACTAAGAGTGACTTAAGGAAAGAAAGATCTCAATCCTCAATCTTGTTTCTAATTCTTCCAATTCTTACCCCAGTGCTATCTAGCACATGGCAAATGCTCCTAAATAATTCTGGAAGGGAAGAAGGAAGGAAGGCCCCAATGGGCAGATTAGGCTCTTATAAAAAGTGTATTAGTACCCTCAGTCCACTGGTGTATTCTGGAGTAGAGTTCGTTGCCAAAAGTGCACTTCTAGTCCTGGAGATGTCTCTTCTGGTGGTCTCTGAAATTACTTTTGCAATATGTCCCTCTTATCTAGTCACATGACCTCATTGCCCTTTCTATTCTGTGAATTCTTTCCAGAAGACACAGTTGTATCTTAATCATCTTTGTCATCACCACAGTACTTCATGGAGCAATTAAGACATATTTGTGGCTGTGGGTGGAAGAGTCTCAGCCCCTCTAACCCTTATCTCCAAAGCAAGAGCTGTCTTGTGAACCTTGAGATTGCTTGCCTCCCATCATGATTAATAGAGAGCTCAAGTTTGAGGAAGTGAAGCCACAGAAAGTCAGCTGCTTGCTTTTAAAGAGGACAACTGGAATTTTCTGCCAGGCATGTCTGGAGGTTGTGAGAATTGTGGTTAGGTCATGAAATAGCTAGTCAAATTGGACCAGATTGAAACATTTTGTTTATGTAACATAAAAACTAACTCAAGAACACATGAGCATAGTACCTGATGCCTTCCTGGTAGCCCACGAGCTGCTTCTTTGCACATCTCATGGTCTGTGTGGATGCAGCCATTTGAATGGAAACTCCTTACAGACAGGGCATTATGTCGTACTAACTCTAGGTCAGGTACCTAAACAGAGCCTCCAGTATGTGGTGGTATAGTTTAGTTTTCCTTTCTGGAGTCTGTGAATGTTGGCTCTGCCTTATTCCCAGCCTACCAGCCTAGAAAGTTTTAGCTCAATTATCTGAGGATGGAGCCATTCGCTACAATGTGTGACTATTCATTCTAAGGCACTTATATCAGAGATGCCCCAGTAATGAAGCTACATTCTGTCAAAACCCAGTAAGTCCCTTGCAGTATGAACAATGAGTCAGAGAATTTTTAACAGTATGCTTAGGCATTCTTTAATGGATCCACTTTAAAAAGTAAAAAGTGATGCAACTTTAGGAAATAAACACAAGTTTGCTTATTCATTTGAAATGACTCTTTTTAATGTTTTATTGTTGTTGTTTTTTGAGTTTTTTTGAGTCCCATTTCCAGTGTCTGCCAGTGGAGAAATTGTTTTCATTGGATAGATACCAATGCTTTGTTAAACATTTTTTTTTTTTTTTTTTTTTTTTTTTGTCTTACAGTGGAAAGGTGAAATCCAGGAGTTTTGCCCCAATACCAAAATGCTCTTAGTTGGCTGCAAGTCTGATCTGAGGACAGATGTTAGTACATTAGTAGAGCTCTCAAATCACAGGCAGACACCAGTGTCCTATGATCAGGTATGTATGTCATCAGTGTGGAAAAGTAATTTCAACAAGAGTGAAAGAAAGGGAATATTGCTCATAGTAAATAAAATAAAAATTAGTTGCTTTTCTAGAGGTTCAGCCAGTGGTCAACTGTGAAATGTGAAATGCCCTTCCTTCTGTAGTCCCATCACGTGATATTTGAGCACATAAATGACTGGTCATGTACTTCCCTTGTTTATCTCTGCAACCCCAATGGGTTTAAAGTTCAGTAAATTTAGAGACGATGTGTTTAGAATCAGTAGTTCTCTTTAAGACAGGTAATTTTATACTCAGCTGCCCTAAAAAACACTAAAACAGGCTGTCGCCAGTAGAATACATCATTCCATAAAACCGTCTTTTAGAGAGTCATCATTTCCCCAGGTGTTTCCTGAAAGTATTTAGAAAGGGGGATCAGTTTCAGAAATTCATTCTCTTAAAACTCACAAGCTGATTCTGAAGGGAATTCATATTGAAATAGCATTTAGTATTCATCATTTAAAATATTGTATTCTATGGCTGGAGATGGAGCTCAGTGGTAGAGCGCTTGCCTGGGATGGATGAGCAGTGCCCTGTGTTTGATCCCCAGCACTATAGAAAAAAAGTTTAAAAAATATTGTAAATCTTCATCTTGCATTTCTAATGAACAAACACTTGGTTATACTGGTAGTACTGTTCGCACTCAGAAATTACACATTTTGTGTCTTATGAAATAGTAGATGTCATACAGTCATTCCTTTTCTTACCTTATTTTGACTCTTAAGGCACAATCACATAAGTTGATAATATTTAAAATTGATGTCAAATTCCATTTGTTACCCCTTTGTTTTATACAACCTGTTGACTAGTTTTGACTGTCATTTGCAGTCATGAACAAAGAAAAGTAAGTGTCCATGAGGGGCTGAAACAGTCTGTAGAAGCCAAAAAGCCCTCGCCAGATGTGTGTGGGAAATACAGGTTGTGTTCATGATCTGCAGCTGACCTACTCTGTAGTAGGATTCTGGGCTTTGTTGTGACCCTGGAAGACCTACACAGCCGGTTACTCTTGGTTACACTTGATAGTGAGAATGAATTGCCACCTGAGCACCTCTTCTACTTTTGGAGTCACCCCTTATTAAGTATTTGATGATCAGGGCCCTTGTGTATTAATGACCCAATGACACTAGACCAGCCTTTAGAACCTGTGGGGATCTATAGCATTTGATAATTGAGCACTTTAGGATTGAGTGTTGACTGCAAATATTTAGAAAGTAATAAAGTAACTCTAATAAAGTAACTCAATTTATTTAAAATAATAATAATTTTTTTTTGCAACAACACTTGGAAAATCCAGTTGGCATATAATATTTTTCAATACATGATTGTTTTGTGGTAATAGACACTATAACTTTCCCCCAAAGTCTGATTGCTGATTAAAATTCTTTCTTTCACTTCTCAGGGGGCAAATATGGCCAAACAGATTGGAGCAGCTACTTACATTGAATGCTCAGCTTTACAGTCGGAAAATAGCGTCAGAGACATTTTTCACGTTGCCACCTTGGCCTGTGTAAATAAGACAAATAAAAACGTTAAACGGAACAAATCACAAAGGGCCACAAAGCGGATTTCACACATGCCCAGCAGACCAGAACTCTCAGCAGTTGCTACGGACTTACGAAAGGACAAAGCAAAGAGCTGCACTGTGATGTGAATCCTTCCTTATCTTTAATGAGGACAAGGGAGTCTAGTGTAAAAAACAAGAAATAAACAAAAAGGTGAAGTCTGAAAGAAGTGCACAGCCAAAGTCACGTACACCACAGGCTTAGGAGGCCCTTGAAGGGAGAGCTGTCTTTTTTGGAATCCTGTCCTTAGGTTCGGCATGTAGACCGAGTGGTGAGACGTGACCACATTGAAGAGTTTTGCAGTGTGACTTGAAAAATATGCCAAAAAAGATATGGATGGGCTAAGAGGTAGATGAGGAGGAATGCGAGTACCTCCAAGAAGAAAAATCACACTCTGAATGGTGCTTGCGTTTTCTGGGTTTTGTTATTTTGTTGTTGGTGTTTTGTTACAATCTATTCATGGATCTCTATTTTGATTTAATTTTTCAATGTTTTAATCTCCTTTACAAAAAGTGTATATTAATGTACCGTCCTCAGTGGGGAACTGGCACTGTGACCTTAGCGTTTAGTTTTCTAGAGGATGTGATCTAATTTCCTCCTAGCTCATCATTAAAATGGAAATTGTATCAGGACCCATGGGATTCCAGAGGAAAACTTCATGAGGCTTTGAAATTTGCCTTCCTGAAGATCTCGCTGCTGAGCAAGATGGTTCTAAGAAAGGCTTTTGCAGCCTTGCAAGACACTTAGACCAGCCCTACACAGATCACATAGATCAAATAGAAGAAGGTGTTGCTTTTTATTCAGTCTGATGGTTCTGTTTATCATTGTGATCGTCAGTAACAAGTGGTAAATTGCTCAATGTAATATTTTTGTGCGCTGTTTAGAGAAGAGGGTGTGTGATTTTTTTTTTCCATCGTTGATAAAAATGCAAAGTCAAATAAAAAGTGTCTTGGTTTGATGTCATAGAATGATCAAAGGAGGAAAAGTTTAGGTACTATTTTTCACCAGGAGAGGTAATGAATGAAGGAATAGTAGCAGAAAGCACAGTTGTGAGTAAAGCTGTCTGGAATTAAGTTATCAAATACACAAAACAAAAGGACTGTTATTTGGGGTTGATACACCAAAATTGGCAACATCTAATGATCTGTTGGGTTATTTCATTTTTTAAAAAAAGAACATCAATTTTAGAAGGACCCACTTTACCCAAGCTTTAGAAAATCCCTAGTACCAAATTCTATAATGTCCATCATGACATAATGCTAGGGCATTTCTAGAGTGACTGCTAAACCTCAACTCCCCAATTTCCCAAGGTCCATGTTCAAAACTTGATCATTGTTATTTAAAAGTAAAATAATCAGCATTTAAAACAGTTTACAGATACTTTTTGACCAGTTCCTTTTGGAGCGTCTTACCTTGAAGAAACCAGATCTGACCTGCTTATTGTTGGAGCTTGTTGAACTCGAGCTTTCTTCCCAGTGATAATGCTTCATTTTTGAAGTGTTGAAGCTGTGCTCCGCTTAAATTGTGGAAGGAGAGAAGATTAAGGTAATTACAACACTCAGTTCTGTGTCTTACAAGCACTTTGTTTTGTCTCTGCAAGAAAATACCATTCCAGGCATTTCCCACAAAATACAGACATTTTACCAACATAATATGCTTTGATTGATGCAGCATTATGCTTTGGGCAGTATTACAAAATAGCTGGCAAGTGCTTTCTGTATTTAAATCTGTAAAAAGAAAATAAGTTATAACTGTTATAAAGCAGAACTTTTGTTGCTTTTTTTAAAATGTTGAAGTCACTTTGTATGTTTGTTTGGTCAATGTTTCTGCAGTATTTATTAAAACATACTTTTTTTTCTTTTAAATAAAAAAGTAACCATGTCTGTCTAAATGTGGTTTTATTATTATTATTATTATTAATTACTTCCTCATTTGACTGTTTACTTTTGTTCTGTAATAGAGATGATTACAGAACTTGGCCTAACTTTTCCTGAATTAGTAAGTTTTGGAGTTTGGTTCTTGACGATAGTGATTTCTTGGAGAAAGATAATGTTTGCATATAAGAGGTATGCACAATGTTTTCAAATCACAAGAAGAAAATGGGGCATCTTTTGATTGGATGACCTGATCTGATACAAAACAAGCTCTGACACTGCTGAGGGTTGACTTGTAGAAAGTTGGAAATTCCTTGAAATCTTTAATAATGAAACAGTATGATGCAGTCTCAGGTTGCAAGTTATGTGACCTAGCTGGCTGCTCTGTCCTCTGTGTTTCAGAGTCTTGGTTTCTAAGCCAGGAATCCACCTTGTAAGGTATATATTTATTCTCAGGAACCAATTGTGTCTATGACTCAGGACCCAACTATCGAAATATTGGTGGAAGGGAAATAAAAACAAAACAATAGTTTTGTTTATGGCAGTAGCAACATTCTGCAACACGGAACAACATGGGTTTCCCCTCTGACCTGAGAGGTATAAAGTAAGCATGGAATAGCTTAGGACAGAGAGATGTCTAGATCCCCAGTAGTTCAGTTGCTTCTCAGTTGAGCTAAAATACTTCCACATATATTACAGTTACATAGTGATATCCCATGTGGGACTTTAAAACTATGATTTTACACAGCTAAGACACTTCATAGGAAAACTGAATCCTTGTTGCTTTTTAAAAATGGCTTTTGAGATCGTTGAGGTATAGTTATCTGCTTAGAAATAATTCTCAGAAGAACAAAGCAGAGGGAAATCCAGATGTTCCAGCATGTGTGAACAAATGAAAAAGCATTCACATTATGGGATGACCATATAAAAACTTAAAAGCATAGAAATTTACTGAATATATTTGTAACTTATTCCTGTCATCAAATAGGGAAGGAAATGAAAGTACTTTCCAGCTTCTTGGTATTGAGTAACTTCTAAGCATATATCCAAGTCAGACTTGCAGGAGACATCTTTCTCAACAATCACTGCCACAAAAAAGGTGGAGGGGAAGCTGTGATTCTGCTGACTGGCAGTATTTTATAGATTGTGTAGGACTGTCCCCTCTGGTCAATTGTTCTTTCTCAACAGTTTTAATTCATTGAAGCAAAAAGAAAAAAAATGTTTGTCTTCAGCGTTGGGTATGTGTGTCTTTTTTTCTGGCTTTTTGCCTTAACAAACATCTTCTAGGCATTCTGTGAACATTCCTTTCTTTTGATTAATGATCATGACCAATGCATTTTTAAATACTAAAAGGTGGTTTTCAAACTCTGAGTAAGATTTTAACTGTGTCTCTCTCATCTCTATTAATCTTTTCCAGGAATAGTTGCTTAGAAGATTCTTAACAGGCAATGTGTCTTGATGGAGACTTAGAAATAACCCAGGGAATGAGTTTCATTAGAAAGAATTTTTTGAAAATTCAGACTCCCGAAACTAAAAGCTGCTTATCCTCTTTTTGGTAGACGACTTTGACATTAGTATTCTGTTCTAACCATGCTGTTTTCATTTCCATCGTTTTTTTCATTCACCAAATAGTTACTGAGTGCCTGCTACATGTGCAGCACTTTTCAAGGTTTGGCGCTTAATCATGACTAAAACACGATCTCTGAGCAAAAAGAATTTATAATCTAGTCAAGGGACACAGTCACAGACAAACTATAACATATCATGTCTGGTTGTGACCCCATCAGCGTGAACTGAATCATGGACGCTGACTTTGTAGTAAATATTCTAGTGTGTAACCAGGTGCTCCAATGCTGTAGCCCCATGTTGCATCAAACTTACAATGCTATAAATACGATGGTGCAAAGGAATTTTTTAGTGCATCCTAATGGCTACAGTCCATTTAGTGATTGCAAAAGAGCTATGAGAATGACATGCTACCAGTCATCACTATAATACCTGTATAGTGAATATAGGCTTTTGTGGCTGGTTACAAGTCCAGTAGGGGAAATTTTTCCTTCACACCTGAATGTATGAAGTCTTCTATTATAAAATGTGCTGGCTTTGCTATAGATTTGTAATTTCTCCTGTAAAATCTTCAGTTGCTGAGTACATTGGAAAAGAGAAATTGACAAAAGCTCAGCATAAATGAAATAAAAATCATTAATTCTTAAGAAATGACAAGAATCCAAAGCAATTATAAATACACTTTGGTTGAAAGTAAGGAGCCCACTATTTACCTAATGCTGAAAATATGTATTTTGTGGCAACCTAAAAATATCTTTTAAAAAGCATTCACTAACAGAGAATTTGAAGGTTCTTTATCTCTGCCCCATCCCAGAACACAGGAAACAAAATCTTATGAACCCCGAAAATAACTCTTGACAGAACTTTCAAAGACAACTCTTCTTTAGGATTTTACTTTGTGGTTTTTTTTTTTCTTTTGTAGAGAATCGTTAGAACCTTTCTTCCATGATCACTGAGGTACTGATGGTGCACCTCTATTTTAAAACAGCTAAATGAAAAAAAAAGACATTCCAAAATAAGAAATGGAAACTGGGTCAATATTTGGACAACCCCACTGTCAATGTAATAGCTAACACTGAAATTGCACAAATTATGTGTCAAGCACAGTTCTAAATGGTTTGTAGAACTCACTCATTCCCCAACACAAATGTATGCAGTAAATTAAACACTACAACTTCCCTATTTTTCAGGCATCTTCTTCAAGGTCATGTGGAAGAGCCAAGATTAGAACTCAGGTGGAAGTTTGCTCTGCAATTTCGTGCTCTACACAAATCCATCTTGTCATAGACAAACACCTAATGAGTATGCTGTGGTGACCGAGGCATAGGAAAGCTAAACACCAGCTCTGAGCCACATGGTGTGGTCACATTCACAGTGAACTTCCTGTCTGCACCTTCAGTAGTCCTTCCCCTGACTCTGACTACTTCCTGACTCCCATCATTCTCCTGGCCTCTTCCTTGGGTGTTGGGACTACTATTAGGGGATCAGTGGATGAACTCATGAATGCTTGACACATGTGGCCTTCCATAACCCAGGCCTGCTTGAACTGCATGAGAACACAGAGGTTCCATAGCAATAGTTTTAGAATCCTTCAACCTAACTCGGATTCTGAAAAGGATGGCATTAAAATAAGCGAACAACAGAAAGAATTTGACATTCTGACTGCTGCACAACTTCTAAGTTATATCTTATTCCTTTGTGGGTAAGATGAATAAATGATGATGAAGGGTAATCAGCTACATTAACCACATTCTCCTGGTTGCAGTTTCCTTAGTAAGCCAGTTAGAAGAGGAAGCTAACTTACTCACTTTTAGTTTCCCCAGGGCAAATACTCAATAAATTGCTATGTAAAATGCTGAAGAGTGGGTAAGAGCAAGTTACTTTCCTTGACAGGAGCTGACACAGTCCCAGAGAATAAGGAAGGACATTAAAAAAACAAAACAAAACTGACTCAATTGGAACAATGCAGTGGTTTCCATTCAGTTGAGTCATTTAGATCATTTATAACCATTTATTCATCTTTCTTCAATCATATATTCTAGGAAAAGAAGGCCAAAACAACCAGCCAATAAAACTTTCATGGCTTTTTAACATCATCCAACAGCAATAGAAGATCTAGACTTTCTTGGTCACTTTGTGACAAGCTTGTCTCCAATTCATCAGTGTCAGTAGCTTGGCATTCTTCAAGGATTGCAGAACTCCTAGGGTGTCTTGAAATGCACCAACTTTCAGGAGGGAACTGATTTATTCATCAGAATATACCCATAATCTATTACCACAAGAAGTAGTTTAATGAATGAGATAATGAATTAATGAATGACTTGAATTACTGGAAGGAAAGATGCTTTTATGACTTTTAAGGCCCAACTTAAATTATCTCTCACACGCTAAACTGAGCAGAGTTTTTAGGATCTTTTCTGTAGTTCCCAAGAACTCACTGGGCCTAAAAATGCCCTAAGGAGCAGGCAGAAGCATGCAGGAAAATATGTGTCCATGTGGCTATCTGGTGTGTATTTGCCCTACCTCCATCCCATACATTTTGCATAGCACACATTTTGCAAGACACACATCAGCACATACCTAGTGTCATGGTCTAAATATGTGCCCCCAAATTTATTTATTGGACACTTGATCCCAGTATGACAATGTCAGCACCTGGGCCTTTTGGGAAGTGTTTAGCAGAACCTCTAGGGTGGCTGGATTGTTTAAAAAAAAAAAGGGCTTTCAGGTATAGGTTCACTTTCTTCTGCTTTTCTGTCATGTGAGAACTCAAAATATGTCTCCTGGTAGTTTTGTCCTTGGTCACATGAGAATGCAGTAAGAAGACCCACACCAGATGCTGAAATCTTAATCTTGGGCTTCCCAGCCTCCAGAACCATAAGAAATAAATTTCTGTTCTTTACAAATTACCCAGTTGCAGATATTCTGTTATAGCAGCATAAAGGAACTTGGACATCTGTATATGAGAATGTTATAGAACATTCTCATTTAATTTAGTTTTAGTGCTCAGCTATTGAATTATTGTAATATTATTTTAACATATAATCATTTCATTATCATTATTTAAAAACTTTCCAGTCTTCCACATGAATAGTATAGAAGTGGGAGATGTAAAAAATTGCTAGTGAAAGGAGATGCCTTCATTTTTTATGTTCCCTAGAGACAATTAGTAACTTGTAAAAAACTCCAGGTTCCCTTCAGCTCTAGACACATAGTTCTGTCCTCTTCTCTGACCATTTGTTTACATACTGAGACACATAAATTCCCCCCTGATTTTTCTTCCTCTGCAAATAATATCTGTGAACACAACTCTTTCTACAAAATAAGGCATGATAAATAAATAAAAGTAAGGAAACATAAGGTATTGTGGTCAGTCAAATAATGGCCAAACTCCTAATTGCAGTAACTATGTATTTTGCTTTATGTGGCAGAAGAGACTGCAGATGTGATT